CACAGGTTACATAATGTTAGTGTGACACACACACCCTTCTAGTCCCTTTCTCTACTTATTACATATTACACATACTGAAATGAGCTTATTTTAATAGTGAAGAAGTTCTTGGAATAAGTTTCGCGTTTGGTGACTACCTTAATTCAAGTCCCTGACAGAGTTACATATTGTTTACTATTGTCTTCTTCAAGTAAGGACTTTCTTTGACATCCCAATCTTATATAAATGGTTTACAATTCTGGGATTTTCCAGTGGCCTGCTGTTGAACTGCTAATCAGGATCGACTTTACTGTATTAAATATTTTAAACACACAAATACACACACTTTGCAAAATGGATTCTTTACACTATCTGAGTGATTTCACCTTGCTTTTAAATCATTCAAAAGGGCCCAGAGTACCAAATTCCATATTCAGTCAAGGAATGGACTCTAACTTAAGTGCTGATCCAACTGAAGCATAACCAAGTGCCATTTCATCTCACTGGGCTATGCAAGAAACATTTTGAGAGTGATGGGACCAGAAGACAGGAACATTAAATGATAAGAAGAGCTATTTCAAAATCTCAACATGCCAGGATTTTGCTTCATAAAAATGACAAGTCCTTCACTTGCAGTTAAGGAAGAAATATATTTAGATCCAGAATTTTGCAGACAGATAATACTCCCACATACTGATTTTCCCCCCTTTTTCTTATTTAAGATCACAGAATTGTGGTGAAATATATATTTAATTTGTTTTTAGTAATGGAGGAATTGTTAGTGAAAATGATGGGATATGCGGAGCTATCTAAACTGACTCCTTTGATTAGTGAAAAGACAACATTTACATTTATGACTGACTGGAAACTCTTTATGGCTTTTTTATATGACCCTGAAAACAAATAAGCTTTTGATTGTAATCTTGACAGAAAGACATTTGATAATAGAAAAAAGAGAAGTTTTTTTGAAAGCATAGAGTAAGGGATAATTATGCAATCAAACTTATATTTGCCACAAAAGATCTTGGAAACTTATTTCTATTTCTATTTCTGCCTCTCTCTTTTTTGCACTTGTGTCATTTCCTTTCTTCCACATTATTTCCTTTCTTCCCTTTTCTTTTCTTTGTATTAGCTTATGTTTCTTTAAAATCAAGAAAGAAAGAAAGAAAGAAAGAAAGAAAGAAAGAAAGAAAGAAAGAAAGAAAGAAAGAAAGAAAGAAAGAAAGAAAGAAAGAGGGAGGGAGGGAGGGAGGGAAGGAAGGAAAGAAGGAAGGATAGAGGGAGTTGGGTTGGTAAGAGGAAGAAAGAAATAGTTGGGTTGGTGAGAGGAAGGAAGGAAGGATGGATGGATGGATGGATTTGGGTTGGTGACAGGAAGAAAGAAAGGGGTTGGTGAGAGGAAGGAAGGAAGGAAGGAAGAAAGGAAGGAAGGAAGGAAGGAAGGAAGGAAGGAGGAGGGAGGGAAGGAAGGAAGGAAGGAAGGAAGGAAGGAAGGAAGGAAGGAAGGA